ACACACACACACACAGAGAGAGGAGGCAAACCAAATAAATAAAAACAAAACAGAGAGCAAATACACACTTGCAGACACTGCATTGGTTTGTGTACGTGTGCATATGCCTACTTCTCCGCATGTCGCAATGTGTGTGTGTGTTTGTTTGTTTTTCGTGTCATTTGAAGTCATTCCGTTCCTTCCCCCCCGTTACCAAGTCAATCGCACCAGCAACCTCGCACGAAAACCCATTGACCTTCACATCGTTTCCACACTGCCCCACACCGGCAATATAATCACAGCTACAGACTGAAGCGGGACAAAAAGTAACAAACAAACCAACCGACGCAAAAGAATCAAGCACCACAGTCTGAATGGGGAGGCGGGAAACGATNAAAAGTAACAAACAAACCAACCGACGCAAAAGAATCAAGCACCACAGTCTGAATGGGGAGGCGGGAAACGATGTAGATAAGATGTGTATCTATTTCCGAAGGCCAAAAGACAACGGGGGGTGGATGAAGAAGAAAACGGAAGGGGAAGCAAAGTAAAGAAGAAAACAGTTGTGGCGGGAGCAGGAGGAAGAAAATGAATGATTGAATGGCTAGCACATCGCAAAACAAAAACAAACAAAAAAGCTTTTTTTTATCACCCCGCATATATAAATATATATATAAAAAGAGAGAGAGAAATTGATTAGCGCGACTGGACCACATCTAAACCCCGGCCGTAGTGCAGAAGCACCAATGGAGAATAATGGGAAGCAGAACCAAATACAAAGAGGCACCCAAAGAAAAACAAAAAGCAAGAAATAAAAGAAACAAAGAAACACAGAGGGATTTTTCCTCTGGTGCCTTCGAATTATTCCTCTTTGGTTCAGATTTTTTTTTTGTTTTGTTGTTGTGGTTGTGGTTGTTGCTTTCTTTCTGGTCATAAGCAAGGTGCTTTCGTTGTCCGGTTTCACATCTACTGTTGAAATAGCCCGGTCACGTTACCCCCACCACTCAATCATCACACTCTTGGCTCCACACGGTCAGTGTTCAAATGCATGACCTGAGGGTAGTGGAGAAGGGGGAGAGAGAAGAGTAAACAAAAACAAAACAAAACAAACCAAGGAGTCAGAGGTTGTGGTAGTGCTTGAAACCCATGACACGACTACATACACAGCCTATCATCTCTTGTCGGTCGCCCATCACCAGGCACACCCCGCAATTCTCTTGATCAGTGCGCGTTTTTAACCATCGGATTTCTGCATTCATTCCAATTACTCACAAGTCGGGGGCCGATGTGCCCTCGCATCCTTTTCATGGTCATTGCTGATGCCCGTGCTTGCCTTGTTCGTACCACGGCGGGTCTTGTCCCATGCACCTTTGTTTGGTTGTGTATTCGCGTGTCGTGGTTCTCTGCCACAATTTGTGCTTTCGTTTGTTTGTTTGTTTGTCGTCGCTGCTGCTGTTGTTGTTGCTACTTCGAGTAGCGGACGCGGCGTGTGTTTTGCCCGCCACCCAACGCGCCGCTTCGCAAAAATACCAAAACATCAGCGTCAGTGGATGTGTGGCGATAGTGAGAGGGGGCACCGCAGGAGGAGAGAGAGCAGCAGCAGCAGCAGCAGCTCACACTGCAGCAGTGGAGTGCGGAGGGTCGAAGGGGAAATGAAAAGATGGGACAAATCGCGATGCACAAGAGAAAAGAAATAGCTATAAATAATAATAAAAAAAAAACAAATAGCTGTGTCGGCACCAATGAATAAGCGTGAACACAGAGAAGAAACCACAAACAAAAAACACGCACACACATACACAAAAATAAAAAGAGAAAAACCAGCAAAAGCCCAAGCAAGCAAAAGATGAAAGCGAAAAAACACAAAGGGACAGCTGAGAGAGGGACGAAACAAGAGGAGTAAGCGCAGGAGGGTCAAAACAGCAAGGCTGTATTCATGGTGCTAAAATACCTTGTATCGTTAAACACTTGTTTCATATATATATTTTTTTTTTTTGCTTTGTTGTTGTTGTTTTTTTGCTTCTGTTTGCCTTCTTGTTCTTTCATTCGGTTTCCCATCCCCCTTCCCTCGTCAGACCCCTTTCCCACCCCTCACCTCCGTGTGTGTGTGTTTTCTTTGTTTTGTTGTTGTTGTTGTTTAAGCTAGCCATCGTTGTTTTGTTTCCTGGTGGGGTTATTAACTATGTCGCTACCCACCCCCAGACACACAGACACACGGAAGCTTGTTCCTTTGTGTTAAGGCTTCGCCCCTCACATCGCCTCTTTTCTTTTTTCTCGTTGAATGGTCGCCCTATTTTTTTTGCCTCTCATCAGTTCATCGTGTCTACCTACGGAGTGTTGTTTCACCTCCTCGTCGGATTACGCATTTGCTTGCCTTCACCCTGTTGTATCCCTACCTTGGTGCTTGGATGTTCATTCCTCTTGCTGGTAGCGATCCAGGACGCACTGCAGTGCCACTTCATGCGCAGCCCTCCAAGCCCTTTTATACCCTGGAAGGTGTCGATACTGCTGCAACGGTCGAACGCTTCGTGGCCCGTTGCTCTCCATCATCAACGAGCAGAACGTTCTGTGTTGATCCTCGTTGTGGCCATTCTGATAATGGCCGTTGGGCGGTGCGTGGATGTTGTTGGCACTTTCTAACTCAATGGCTGTCGACAACATTCTACTTGACATGCCTCGTGTTACCGAGGCCGTTGTGGCATCCAATCTGCGTGTCATGTGAGCATCGATACGTTGTCTATATAAGACGCGGGCACCATCCGATGGCAGTGGCCGTGGTGGTGGCGGCGGTGGCGGCGGTGGTGGCGATAGTGAGGGTGGCACCTGCGGCATCGGCAGCAGAGTTGGCTGCAGAGGAACGGGCCCAATAGCAGATCCAGGGCGCTGCGGCGATGCGAGATAAATGACGGCAGGTACAGGTGGTGGTAACATCGGCCCCACCATGGCGCTACTTGCTCCTGTACGGTATGACTGGCCTGTCTCCACGACACGCTGGGTTGATGTGGGTTCGTTGTGTGGGTCAATGGGGTTTTGTGCTGGTGCGTTTGCAGGTCGGGGCGGCAGGCTTTTGTGTGATTGCGTTTCTTCCTGAGATGCATAGACGCGTTCCGGTCCAGCCTGTTCCGCTTGTCGTTGCCGCTGCCTGGAAGAAGACAGCTGTTGTCGCTGGCGACGTCGTCCCCCAGCCCAAAAGAACAGCTTCTCGGCATCACAGCTCGAATCCATAGCCGGTAGTGTTAACTCCTCGGGCGTGGGCACGTGTACATCGTTCCCATCCCCTGCACACAAATCATCGACAGGGGGTTTACCTGCGTTCAAAGGAGGAATAGATGACTTGCGGTCGAGAGGCGCATCACTCACGCCTCCCCTGGTGGTGTTAAGCTGCTTTACCAGCTCCTCTGCGGTGGGAGCACCTCCACCTAACTCTGCAGGAGCGTCGTGATGTTGTGAAGTCTGCTGGACGCATGCCTGTGGCGCGACCTCGCTCTTGCTGCTGCCACAACCGTCCTTTCCCGGGGTGGTCGAGTTGACATCATTGGATACAGATAAGGGCTGTGTCTGTATCTGCGGCAGTGACGGTGGCTTTTTCAGTTTGTTTTTTTTCTTTGAATGGGAGTCCGCTGTCAGGGAATCGAAAGCACCCTTCTCTGCCTCTGTTGGCTGGGTCTCGTGATCATCTTCTATTCCTGCATTTACCATCCTAATGTCCGGCGCACACCTTCGATTTCTGGTGATCCGCCGTGTCTCCTGCTACCACGCCACTGCTCTGGCCCGCACTCCCCAAATGCAGAAGAGGCCAGAAACACCTGGCTTTTCGTCTTAGTGATATATATATATATATATATATCCCTTTCTGTTCGTGAAAGCTGCGTTGCCCTGTTTTGTTTTGTTTTGTTTTGTTTTTCGTTTCCACACGACACAGCAACACAATCACTCCTTTGCAGTGCGTATGTGTGTGTGTGTCTTGCTTCTCACACGCGGCTGAGCGGCGGTCAGTGGCGATATGGTGTGAAAGCGGTGCAGCAATGATGGCAAATCAAAACACTAACACATGTGGAAAGAGAGAGCAAGAGGAAGAAATAGAAGCACGCGCAGTTACAATCGCACCCCCTCACAGGCGTGAGACCTTGTCCCTCACATATTCGACTCCTGCATCTCCGGCAGCTGCGTATGTATATAGATATGTTGGGGAGCCCCTGCACAGTATTCTCTTGGGTGCCAGGGATGGATCGACAAGAAAAGCGAGACGTCTGTGGGAAGCTCCGCGAGAGGCGCAAACGCAACAGAGAGAGTCCACGGCCAAAACGGCACACAGCAAAGCAAGCAGAAGCGAAACCCATGTTGAAATTAAACAGTCATGACAATGAAAAAAAAAAACTAATTCAGGCTCCATCTGAAGACAAAGGGGAAAGAAGGGTCCTGCAATTCAATGCGCAAGTGATGTGATACGTGGCCAATAAAAACAACAGAAAAAAGACCTAGAAGGTGAAAAAGATACTTCGTTTCGTTTCCCCGCTCTCTTCCTTCTGCATTTCCCTGTAGCTCCCCCCTCTACGGGTGTCTGTGCGTGGCGTGTCGGGGAGGAAGAA